CGCAGCAGCAGCCGTCGCGGCGCCGGCGGCGGCGGCAGCGGGGCTGCTGGAGCTGCTACTCATGGCGTCTCACGCGCTCTGCCGCCTGATGGAGCACGGCGGCCGCGCCGCGCGCGGCGCGATGCGGCGGCGGCTGGCGGCGGCGTGCCCCGGGGCGTCCGAGGAAGACGTCGACGCCGCGGCGGATGCGGGGCGGCTCGACTGGTTGCTGCTCTCCCGCGCGGCCGCGGCCGCGGCGGCCCGCGGCCGCGCGCGCGCCGGCGCCTCGGCGTGCTGCGGCGGCGGCGGTGAGTCCGATCATGATGCTGAGCTGGCGGCGGTTGAGGCGATGCCCAGGTCAGCGCTGGACGGGCTGCTTCGGCTTGTGAGCCCGAAGGACTGCGCCTGCGCGGGATCTCATCGCTGGGTCAACGCGGCCGCGGTCGGCCTTGCCGCGCGCTGGGTGGGGGCGGCGGCCGCCGAGGGCGCCGGGGGCGCGGGCGCGGGCGGCGAGGCACGGGCGCGCCGGGCGAGGGCGAAGCTGGCAGGCAGCTTTTTGGCGGTGGGCGGGTGCTGGCGGCTGGCGGCGCTGCTGGACGACTGCGTGGATGAGGTGGGGCGGGCTTGGGTCGGAGAGGGGTCTTTCGCTGATTGCTTAGTTGCATTTTCGCAACAGCAGTGACGGGAATGGGCCGTGCGATGGGGACAAAGCAAGGGCGGCTGTCTGGCTGAAAAGTGGCATCGGTCGCTGCGGGGCTTTGCAAGTGCAGGGGGGACTCATCGCGCCCGCACCCTTGCACCCGGCCATGTGGCCGTGCGTCCTGCGGGGCCCTGCCGCCGTCGCACAACGGCGTCCGCCGCGTGCCCGCGCGGTCGCAGCCGTTTGGCTGTCAATCATCACCCTGTCCCGCATGCTGACCCACCCCCCAACGACCCCCGGGTCGGGCTGCGGCGGACAACCTGACTACTTCGCGCCCCGACTGCCCCACTGGTCGCCTCGACCCTTTGCCCGTCCCTGATCGTACCCCAATCGTTATCTCTCCACTCCCGCATCTCTTGACTGTTGTGCCCACCCCACCCACTTCTGACACCCACAGGCGGACAAGGCCCCCACCTTCCAGTCCAGGGACTCCCAGCGCAGCCACAAGCGCGGCGTCGCGGCGCAGGTGGGTCAAACAGCTCCCCTCCGGGGTCTGACTCTGGTTTGACCAGGGTTGACCGCCACGCACGGCGCGCGCCGGTGGCAGGCAGGGAAGCACCCCTGGAGCTTGCCACGTCTGCTTCTCCCTCCCCACACCCAGCGTTGCCGACCCTGAATCTGCAGCACAACACATCACAACACTTCACAACACATCATGACGCATCACGACACATCACGACACATCACATCAAATCTGGACTACCGACCCCTGAAGCCCACGCAACCCTCAGTGCCACCCGAGCCTCCGGCCTGCTAGCTGTGCCTCCATCTCCGGCCTCCGCCCCTCCCCAAATGCACCCTGTGCACGCACCCGCCTGAGCCCCACCTGCTCTCTTTTCTGAGACTCTGCTATCCACCTTCGCGCGCACGTGCGAGAGCACACCGCACACATGTATACACACACACACACAACACACACATGTCCAACCCCCTATCCCCCCCTCCTCTGCCATCAGGCCCTCCAATTGGCAGGCCAACTCCTCCATTGGTGTGACGAGCTCCGACCGCCCTCGCCGCCCGCCCACCAACCCCCGCGGGCCCCGCCGGCGTCGCCCTCGCGCCACGCGCGCGCGGTGGGCCCGCCGTCTGCAGGGGCGTCGCCTGCGGCGGCGAAGGCGCCGGTGGGGCCGGAGCCGGCGCACCTGTGGGCGCTGTCGTCGGCGGCGCTGGCGCTGGCCGGGGACTGGCTGTCTTGGGTGTGCGTCTCAAGCATCGAGGCGCTCGGCGCGGACGGCGCGGCGGCGGCCGGGCGCGCTGTCAGCGAGGTGGGCCGAGGCGGGGCTGGGCTGCGTGCAAGGGGGAAACGGGCCTGCGTCGCTTCTGGCTGCCATGATGCTGAGGCTTGGCTGTGCTGCTTGATCCCACCCAACGGATAGCACACCTCCTTTGCTGTATTGGTCATTTTCTGTGTCGCAGCGTTTATCCCCTCCTTGCCCTGGGTGACGCAAACCATTAACACTAAGTGCCACTCAGGCCACTGCATTCGGCACTTTCAGTCACATGAAAGTGCGCGATCACGCGCGCGCGCGCACACACTTACACACACACACACACACACACACACACACACACACACACACACACGCACACGCGCACACGCACACGCGCACACCTATAAAGACAAATATCCTCGCATACTCATACAATACACACGCACACAGCTCTGCGAGCGGGCGCACGCCACCGCCGGCGCCCCGGCCCTCTCTGACCTCGACCCCTGCTGGCGCGCGGTGCGCGTGCTGGGAGACGAGCGGACGGGCGTCGCGGCGCAGCTGCTCGGCGCCCACGTGGTCTGCAGCTACCCGGCAGTCGTCAGGGTGAGTGACACCCAGTTGACCCGTGAACCGTGCCAGTGTTATTCTTGAAAGTCAAACGAGTCAAACGAGGGTTTTGTGTTTCATCAGGTCCTGGCTGTGATTTTGACCACGCGTCACAGCTGGCATGCTGATGCAATCATCGCGCGTCGGGATTCCACGCGATCCACTGCCCTTGAATCGCTCCCGGGCCCGCGTCTCCTGATGGGTCGCGCCGCGCCGGCTGCTTGCTAACGATGACTACCGATGACAGGGCGACGCCAGCAACCCCTACATTGACTCATTTGTGGTGGTCAACTGCGTGAGGCGCCAGCTCATCTTGGCGGCAGAGGGTGAGGATGGGACGGGTCGCGGTGCTCACGGTCTCAGGGTTCAGGGCTCTAGAGCTCAGGGTTCAGGGGCTAGGGTCTAGGATCCAGGGTGTAGGGTACAGGGTTTCGACGGCGCCGTGATCTGGGTCATGCCACCCCTGCGAAACCAAAGGGGCCACCGCCACCCCCGACCCCCTCTCGCGCGCCCTCTCGCGTGCGCCGCAGCCGACCCCCGCCACGCGGCGACGCCGGCGCGCGCCGCGCTGCTGCTGGCGCGCTGCTTCCGCCTCGGCCCCGGCGACGTCGTCTCCCTGCTGTCCGACGCGACGGCCGGCGCGCCGCCGGCGCCACCGCACCTTCAAAACGACGAGCATGGCGAGCAGGACGGGCCCGGCGGCGGCGGCGGGGAGGCGGAAGGCGAAGGGCCGCGTGAGGGTGTGGTGGAGATGGTGCTGAGGCGGCACCCCGAGGCGCTGCTCTGCCTGCTGCAGCAGTGGCTATCCAGCGGATCTTCTTCCACCGCCCGCTGGGCTTCCGCGGCGCTCGGGTTTTTGGAGGACCGGCGGCTGCTGGGCAGCTGCCTGGTGGCGGCCTGCGGCGGCGGCGGTGCGCAGGGCGCGCAGGGCGCGGGCGCCGCGCGCGGGCGGTGCGGAGGGGAGGCGTTCCTTGCACACGTCGCGGCTGCGGCTGCGTGGCGCCTCGCGCATGACGGACGCGGCGGCGGCGGCGGAGGCGGGAGTGGGAGCGGCGGCGCCGCGTGGCCGGGCGGCGGGGTCGCCGCGGGGGCCGCGGCAGCGAGTGCGGCGGCGGCGCGCGCGGCGGACGCCGATCGGCGCTACAGCGTGCCTTTTGTGCTGGCGGGGTTGGCGGTGCTTGCGCGCATCCACTTGCAGAGGGCCGCCGCGGGCGCCAGGGAGGGGGACAGGGACAGCCCAGAGGCAGTGCTTGCGTCGCAGCTGCTTGGGGCGTCCGCGTC